TATATATATATATTGTACTGGTCATTAAACCATTGAACCACATTCTTAGCCCTTTTTATATTTTATTTTGAGAGAGGGTCTTGCTTAATTGCTCAGGGCCTTGCTAAACTGCTTAGACTGACTTTGAACTTGTGTTCCTCCTGCTTCAGCCCCAGAGTACTGGAATTATAGGTGTGCACCACCATGTTTGGTTCCTACCTATTTTTTAAACTATGCTAAATAAGAAGCAGTTCACTTTCCAAGTACCTATACTAATAAAACCTAACAGATTTGCAAGCTAGACTGTCTTTTTTTTTCTCAGTTGATTGGTATTTTTAACTGATAAGTTGAGACTAAAGTTAAAATATTAACCTCACCTATCATGTTTGTACATTCTTCTCCTGAATTCAGAAATTGCAATTGTAAATGCTTATTCATACAATAAATAAATAAAAAAGTTTGCATCTATCATGTCCTTTGTGTACCTTTTCCCAGTTAGTGTACCAAAAACACTATTTGGAGGCTCTCATCACATTGAAAAAATTATAAGTCAAAGAATATCAGGATCAAGTTGTTCTCAACTCTCCTGATACATTTTAAAACTACTTTCTTATGTTGCCTACAATGCTGCTACTGCCTTTTAGTAGAAATTCATTTTACAAAGCTGAATAATAGGGGTTTTGACAAAATACTACAAAATATTATATTAAATAACTTAAGCAGCAAAAACATATGGGGTTCATTCAGATAGACAACATTACCAAAAAAATGACTTTTGGTTCATGAAGAAATTGAAGTTAATGCACATTCTATCAACTTTGCAGTAGCAAAGTGTTCCATCAATATAAGACAAACTCTGCTTTTATTAAATGAAGACAACTTCTAGCAACCTTACACAGAGGTACTATTACCTAGTTCATTTTTCATTCACTGTGCTAGTGTTATTTTCTTCCATTGGACATAAATATTGTGTATCAATGCAGCACAATAAATTCTGTTTTCTCATTGAATGTTTCAATATTACAAACTGAATCTTCTCTCCTTTCTACTTGATTCTGACCCCAATTTATTTTATTTAATTTGGTGTTATTACCTTATTTAACTTTTCACTGTTTGTGGCTTCCTAAGTCTTTAAAATACTGAAAAGAAAAATATGCTATTTACTTCAAATATACTAAAGAATCCCAGGATCACTGAATGTTCGCCAGGGTATATCAGTCACTTGAAGAAGGCACGCTATTTTGTTAAATAATCTTCACCAAACCTGTACTTTCTAAGTGTTACCTCATGTCATTTTCCATTTGTGAGATCTCAAGCTTGCTAACTCTATTTAAATTCACCTGATTATCCTTTGTAATTTTCCACTGTAAACATCTCAGTGCTGTCTCCATATTCAGATTGCTTTCAGACTGGCTGCCTTCAAAACTAAGCAGCATGATGCTCTATTTCCATATGAAGAGCCATATGACTGCCAGCTGCTAACAACATCCATTGAAAAGCTGTATGGATGGTTTAACCAGTTTTTTTCCAAATTTCTCAGTCAGTCCTCACTATTTGAAACAGCTCTTTTCCAATAAGTTGAGCTAGGATAGGGAGACATTACAGGCTTCTTGGCTTACTGGTTCTACCTTAAATTGCAAGATTTGAGGAAAAAAATGTTACATTTCTTTTCGTGAGATCTCTATTGAAGAATTCCTGACTTATGTCACAAATGGCTTGGTAATATCGACTACATATGTTATAAACTGTAGAGGTCATATTCTACATTCTAATATTCTTCTCAGTTTTTAAGTTTATGTTGTTAGTATGATAGGGAGTATCCCCAACTAGAAGCTAATTTCCATGAAGAAAGCATTCATGTCTGGTTTTAATGACAAACTGTCATTGAATGTTAAGAAATTCTCATGGTTTCTAGCACACAGTAGGGTTCATCAAGTATATAAATTAGTTAATTGACATAGGTAGGAAATGTTTTTTGATTGTTTCTACAGTTTCCTTGTATACCTTAGTTTGTTGCATTCTCCTAAACATGAACAGAGTCAGTTTCATCATTTAATCATCAGGAGATCTTTTTTTGAAAAAAAAAAAAAAAACCTTAGACTCTAAAAAGAAATATAGAAGCTTCAAAATAAGGTCCACTCAAATCTGACAGTATAAAAAATGTAAAGATCACTACAGATAGATGCCACTCTCTTATTTTCTTCACTGCTTTGGAATCATGTAGATCTGCTTAAGGACTAAACACCTGCACAGTCACACATATGCAAAGGCAATATCACTTATTCAGTCATCTATTAACATATTGAGGTATCTGCTTAGTATGTGCCTGCCATAGTGCCAGGGGTCCATAAAACCAAGGTCAAAATAAAAGCTTGACAAAGGTAAGTTTTTCAGTCTGTTTATTTATTAATTTATTTTCATTGCTATATCCTGAGAACCTAGAACATGTTCTGCCTTTGAGGATCTTGTAGTGTAGTGATAAAGATATATACTTTCATTATTATATAAAATCTATTACTGCCATTTTAGTGAGTATGATTGGATGCTATTTGCTTCCAAACATATTTGAATGTATCAGTGAGCAAAATTCACACACTGAGATGCCTTTCTTTTAATTTTGAAGTGAAGACTAGGGCCCCACAGTATATTAACTGACATTAGGGTTGTGAAATTTCCTTACAATTAGTAAAGCTCCATACAAATAATAGATAAGTTTTGTCTTACTATTAGACTTCATAATTCTCTATAGAAACATTCCTAGAAATAAAGTTTCTGCATTTCATTTCCAAGAATGCAATTCTGATGATAAGATGAGACTATGGAGGATTCTGTAGAAAGTTGTGAAAGAACATTCTTGATAGATGATAATTCCATACTTCTTATCTTTAAGAGCATTATTAGCATCAGACAGATATTTACATATTAATCAAGATAAATAAATATGTGGTGATTTAACTGGGAAACTGTTATATGGAAAAGAATTTAATCAGCATAGGTTGAAAGGTCCATCATTGCAGCATACTGTTTCTGCTAAAATATTGATTGCATTACTGATCTCAGTAATGCTTTATTTTACAGGGCACAAATAACCATGTAATTACTCTTTAATTGAATGATAATTGCTTCTTGGCAATTATTTGTTTTCAGTTTAATTACAAGGTTATTATTTGTACTCTATAAATAAACAGGTCTTTTTTTAAGTTCCCATCCAAATAGCTCTTCCAATATATCACCCATGTATACTCTAAAGGCAAGTTATTAAGATACAAGGCAAATAATACCATAAAATCACAAAACTTTTCTTAAATAGTTCATGTAAATCTTTCAGAGATTCAGCTTTATAGAATTGATATTATATATATATATATATGTATATGTGTATTATATATATGTATATGTGTATTATATATATATATATATAATTGATAAGTTATTTAGAATGAAATGATACCAAATAATCTTGATCTTTCTCTGGGACCAACCTTTAAAATAATTTATCTTGATATTTCTTCCCCCTTCATTCCCCCCGCCCTTTGTTATCATTTATTAATGAATAATAAGTGAATGAAACTTTCCAAAATGGTGGTAAATGGAAGAATGGATTATTTTCAATTATTTTATTTTATTTTATTCCCCCTTCATTCTTTAAACTTCTTTATAATAAATTAAATAGTAACTCATATTCCTGAGATTAAGGAATAAACAAACTTGAAAAATATTTCAATAATATTTCATATGCAATTGAATGGGATTGCCCTCAGAGGATTATCTTCCAGTTTATAAACTTTCCAGAGTTGACAGTTCTCCAAGGGAGATATTCAGTAGTTCTTCTGGTGTGAATAAAATATGACACATTCTGTTACATATCTATTCTAAGTTATAACAAACAAAGTAGTTGATACTTGCTCATTACGATTATGACATTTTGGGCTGTGGTTGTGGCTCAGTGGTAGAGTATTCGCCTAGAACAAGCATGGCCCTGGGTTCCATTCTCAGCACCACATAAATATAAATAATTTTTAAAAATATTTCAAAACTAGGGGATAGCTTAGTGGTAGAGGGTTTACCTAGCATGTGGCAGTCCTTGGATTTGTTCCACAAAAACACACATACACACACAAACACACACACACTGTAAGAAGTTTCACTGTTATATTTATTTCATGTCATCATCTCTTTATGAATCAGGGGTAAGGAAGAGAAGACAAGTGATTTTCTTGTTCCAAAGGGAAAAATCAGTTAATAAATTAATTCATTAAGTCATAGGCCTTAAAGATATTTAATATAAATCATAGGGACAGTATTTAATTTGGTGAGGAATTACAAGTCATGTCAACCTATTCAATGAAAGCTTGTCTTAATATTAGATAAAGAAAGAACATTCTGGGATAG